ATCCAGTCCCAGAGGTAACGTTACACATGCATTTAAATTTTGATGATCAGAATTCCCTAAATAACCACAGGGACTGAAGCAATGGACAACAAAATAATGCATGCTCACTATTATTCAATTGATGATGTATTACTTTTGCATGTAAAATCTAGTGCTTACCACAGTTATATAAATATAAACATATATAATGAATATAATTAAAATAAAACTGTTACATATAACAGATTTTATTTTTAAGTCAAATGTGTTCATGGTTTGTACATTAGAAGAAATAGCTCTGCTCCTGGCACTGTAGCCTAGTGGCTAAAGTCCTCACCTTGTACAAGCCTGCATTCCATATGGGTGCCAGTTCGTATCCTCGTGGTCCTGCTTCCCATCCAGCTCCCTGCTTGTCGCCTGGGAAAGTAGTCGAGGATGGCCCAAAGCCTTGGGACCCTGCACCCACATGGGAGACACTGACAAAGCTCCTGGCTCTTGGCTTTGGATTGGCTCAGCTCTGGCTGTTGAGGCCACTTGGGAAGTGAATCATCAGATGGAAGGTCTTCCTCTCTGTTTCTCTGTGTATATCTGACTTTCCAATAAAAAAAAAAAAGAAGAGGAAATGATTCTATTAAACGTTATTTAGTTTTACATTAACAACTTACATGTTGGGCAACAGTCCTTCATTTGCATATTTATGTGAAAGTAGACAGTTTTTACTGTGAAGAGTATTTTTTTTTTCCTTTTCTAGCACAGAAGTCTGTAACATACTTAGTTAGCTCATTTCTCCTGAAAATTACTTAATAAACTTCATGGGCAATTGTGTTTTTTTATTTGTTTGCTAGTTTGTTGTTTTTTTTTTTTTTGCATATGTAATCCCGGACTGCTTACCCTGGTTTGTAACTTAGCCCAAAGCCCTAGAGTTGTTTGTAGTGCTTATGTTTTAAAAGTCCTCAAGTTATATTTAAAATGAGGTTTATACAACACCACTTTCAATGACTATTAATCAACTTTTACATCTAGAAGATTCTTATTGGCTTATATGAAGCAATCCAGTAAGAGGCATATAGTGGAAAAAAAATAACAAGACATCTATTTATTATTAAAATAAAGAAAACTTAAAGGAAAATAGCACTATTCAGTTATGCTTCAATAATAATTTGCATGCTTAGAGGAATTTAGTATCAATCTGAAATTTAGTTAGATGCTATCTGTTTTCTTCCTAGGACTGTGTTAATTTCCAGAATATATAACTTCCTCTTTATCATCTATATCATAAGTGGCTTAATTCCTCTTAGAGTAAGACATATTTTTAAAATTTTTTTTTCCATCTCTAGTGAATAGTTATTAAATATATATAAACTATTTGATATTTTCTACAGTTGTTAACATTTACTTCTTAATATGTCCAAATTTAGTAAAGCACCCTTCCAGACATATCAATCTTGGAATCCATGAGTGTCTCAAAGCCTCTGGCTTTATGCTAACTGTTTACACTGACTTGCTAAAGGTAAAGCACAGATTATGACTGCAGCAATAAACATAAGGTCTCTCCATCACATTTGTTTTTCAGGAAAAACAATCTTATCACTTCATTCCATTTATCTTCAGCGTGAAATGAGTTTCCATGTCAAAACGGTCATTAATATTTAACAACTTGTAGAGAAATGTTTGTTTCTGGTGCTGATGCATTTCCATATTCTTTGTAGCCAAATGTTTACCAGCTTATGGCATGAGATATTATTTATGTTTCCATATTTGCGTTGCCAGAAATTCTCCCAATCAGACATAATCATAAATAAACACCTTGATTTCATAATTATCTCATTTGTTTGGAGTGATAGTCAGGGACAGGAGTTAAAATCTTTCACATAGTACTGTAGACTAAAACTGGTAGATTCCCTAAGGTGATTTAGGAGGAATTAATACTAATTCCCACCTGCCAGAAAAGTGCTAGACTTTTCTGACAAATATTATATTGCTTCAGATCAGATCTACAGGCATTTTCTTAGACATGGCTTAGGAAAAGATCTTAATATTTATAACATCTCACTTATCAGGTAAAAATAATGACATATTGCATCATCAATAAGTGGTATCACAACATTCCAAAGTTGACTGGCCAATTGGGTTCCAACACATGTGGTAAGCAGATAAATAGGCATAAGAAATCAACATTTATTTGCATCTGTATTTTGCCAATTCCTGTGCTAGGTGTATTTGGCCATCTGCTGATAGTTGTAGCAAGATGGTTAAGATAAAAAAATTGAGTTTCTACACATCCTTACACTTTTATTTGCCAGTTTGCTGAGAGTGAGTATTTTGGTTAATTCCTATGCTTCATGTTTCTCATTGGTAAAGTGAGTGGGCCCTGTGATTTATTTCTTAGGATTATTGTGAGGATTAAATAAGATAACATAAGTAAAGCACGCATCACTGGTTGGTATAATGTAGGCACCCAATAATGTCAAAGCTTCCATTGTGCTCAACAAATCTTTTTGAGTTAAAATGGCCTAGCCATATTTTACTGATGGACTGGTTACTGGAATTTGAAGCAATCTCTATATAAAGGCAACAGAGGAATTTATACATTAAATCAAACCATTTTATTACTCACTAAATTGTATTCTGATCTTTCCCCATTAAAAGCATGTAGGTATAAGCTCCTGTTTGCATACATTAAACAAGGAGATTTTTGGTTGTTCATGCTTCATAGAGCAGGTAAAATGAGCACCTTGAATCAACTGCAAAAATGGGCTATGATAATACATAGTTTACTTCTTCAGTTTATGTAATTAATGTGGGGAAGGAAGAAGGAAAGGAAGCCTAAAGAACTTTACTTTTCCAAGCATAAGCATGAAACATGACATTATTACCATTTGTTGGAATCAAAAGATCAGAAAGTCCAAGGAAAAACCATGACTCCATGGAAACCCCTATCCCCCTAGTGATGTTAAAATCCAAATGCACAGATAAACTAGGTAGTTATTCTTCTAATTAGCACTTGTGGTGACTAATTGCTGTTGAAGAATCTAGGTGAAAGGTTTTGACTTTCAAGGATTCCTTCAGAATTTTTCTGCCATCATACAAGTGTTCTCTGAAGGGTGTTCACAAGATAGCCAAGAGCATTGGAGTCATAAATCTTCTTATGAGCAATCCATTCCACTCATTCTTGCAAAGTTTTGGCCCTGTACTAGGCTCATCTTAGTGTACTTCTGCAATATCTGCTCTAGAATAAATAGAAACTTGTATGAAAAGTTGAAACACGTACTGGATTAAGCAGATTGCTGTTTGTTGCAAGTTCACTTAAAGAATGCATAATATTAGTTAAGTTATATTTCTGAGACATAGGCTTACAGAATTTAAACGTTCATGTATTTTCTTAAAATCACAGTGACAATTATCCCCCCACACCGCCAAGGAATCTTTTGGAAAAAGCTTGTTGCAACTTGAGTTTCAGAGAAATGCTCACATCAGCTCAAACAGACCAGAATGTGATTGGAGTAACAAATAGAGCTTCTAACTACTCCACAGTCACCTGAAAATGTTATATTCATCTATTCATTGTAACAACAGAAAAGACATGAAGTGGCAGCTATTATTATATCCATTTTATAGGTAAGATAGTTGAGGAAATAAAAGGTCATCTTGCCAAGGTCATTGCTCATAAATGACCAAAATGAAATTGGAGCTAAGACAATCTTATTACTGCATTTCCTTCACATTTAACTATTTGACCCAATTGTCTTGCTGAAAGCAGTAAAAATATTAAAGCCTATAGTACCTGCCTTAAGGCTATTTATAATCTTAAAGTAGTGAATATAAACATAGGCTTAATGTAATGAGTTCTGGTTTCTTCGTAAAATGAAATGAAAATCGCATTTTGAATGTGTGTTATTTCAGTGCTCCACAATTTGCCTAGTTCTATACTCTTGCTTTATAGGGTCCGGAAGCTGAAAATAATCTTACCTTACGGCATTTGTTGCTGAGGCTACTAGATTTATGCTGTTGAAATAAAGAACAAAAACCATACTGCTGCTACTCCAAGTCTAACCAGGGGTAGCATTGCACTGGAGATAGGAATTTAAATGTCCATAGAACTGAAACCATAATTTAAAGTCACAGACTCCAGACTTTTCTACCACCTAATCTGTAAGGTCCCTCAGAGTTAACTCCTTTATTACCAGACCCAGCAACGCCTGCTGGGCACACACAGGTATACCGGTGAAAGCTTCGCACGGAGTTTTCACTTTCTCCAGGTTTTACCAGCTGCAAGAGAAGGAGGAGCCGGTGGGAAGTTAAACAGGTAGAGAACTTGGTTCATCTGAGGATGCCCACAGCTAAGGTAGAGTCCAGAATGCCGAAGGACGCGAGGAGAAGCTGCAAGCGAAAGCCACCTTGTCAGATAGGCTGGAGTCTGGGCTCCAGGTTGACGCGTTTGCCTCACGAGTCCCTTTCACGTTTTTCCTGACACAGCCCAGGCAGATTGTGAAGGTTTGCATGATCACTGGAGCCAGAACCACGGTAAGGGGTGGGGCAGGAGCCGGATCTCGGCGAGCACCAATGCCTCCTGGAGTCCCGCCTGCTCCTGCATTCCTAGAAGAGCTGCCAGCTCTTCAAGGGTTCCAAGCGTGAGCGCAGGGTGCACAAGTATAACCAGAGCTCGTCTTAATCACGGACTCCGGGGCCCCTTCCCCTCGGCTGCTGAGCCCTTTCCTGGCACCCTCTCAGGTACCCCCGCCCAATCACAACTAAACCCCGGAGAAGTGGAATCTCCACACAGCTTTCTGTGGGTCTAGCAGGGGCTTGGGCATGCTCAGTAGACTACATCTCTCTCTTTCTCTCTCTCTCTCTCTCTCTTTTTCTCTCTCTCTGATAGGGGAGGGTGGTGACAACTTAGAAGCGCTTGCGGCAGGTCCCCGCCCCCAGGATCAGGCTGCCCCTGGAAGGGGATAATGCCAAGGTAGAAGCACCTCGCTCCGCAGCGTCCAGACCTGAAGCGGCTGCGCCCTCGGGCCGAATCCACCCATTCCCCAGCCAGAGGACAGGCCCGCCGCTCTCCATGGTACTGCGGAGAGCTCAGCTCCGCCCTTCTCTTTCAGAAGGACAGCACCCGGCGTCACGTAACCCAGCCTTCTCGGGCTCCACCACCGCCTCTTCCTTCCTAGCTTTTCCCCTCTCCTCCTGCTCCTCTTCTTCACCCGCCCCTCCCCAGCTCCTGCTCCCCTCCGTTGCATGTTCTCCCCCTCCTGCACTCCTGGAGATAGACGCTCAAGCCTGGCGCCTCTGAAACGGCAGCAGCAGTCGCCTTATCCTTAGACCTCAGGAAATTCGCTTTGACCGATGCATGCTTCAGGCTCTGGCTCGAACTAAAGGGAATAACCGGGCAGGTAAAGCAGCTCACTTGGTTTGGGGAGGTGGGAAGGAGGGGTTGGGGCGAGGCAAGCTGGAGAAGGCTATCTTCTCTTGTTGTAACTGAGCCAGCATCTGCTACAAATACACTGGGAATGGATGGGTGGTGGGAGGGTGGCGGGTGTAGATCTTGGTTGTTTTTTGCATGAAGCCTTTTAAATGATGGGAAGAAGATGAGATGGTGGAACTCCGGTAGTAAGTTAAAGGCTCAATGCAGTGATTTACTGGCAAAAGAAAGAAAAATACTGGCAGGATGGAAATCAAAGCAATAAAATACATCTTTCCCTTGCTTTGCAGCCCCACACTGTGCCTATTCTTAATTTGTGCTGTAGATGCCAGGCACCAAGAAACTGCACTGCTATTAGAGATGGAGCTTGGTGACTGGGCGGGAAAGCCAGGGAGGTGTTCATTGGTATTGAGGGACTTTGCAAAATCCAGGAGCAAAACGATGTACACTTCTTAAAATTCTCCAAGAGATTTTGGGCTTTTTATGAGGAAATATATTGCAGGGGACATGGACAGGTGTGTGTGTGTGTGTGTGTGTGTGTGTGTGTGTGTGTGTTCATGTGTGTAATACCATAAACAGAACAGATACATCTGCAGCTAATGAGTGTACCGTATTGATTCTTACAATGACTTCAGGATGAATTTGATTCTAGAAATGGGGAAAAAGATTAATGAGGCTGTTACTCTGCTTTTGAATTACCGTGCTTCTTCCTTTGGCTGCAGTAAGGTTGTTTTTCAAATCCTTTTATTTCATCCTCTAATTTGTAAACTCACCAGGTCTTTCCAGCAACTAGAGAGAATCCCCTTTCTCCATATAAATACTCTCACACACAATGAGCTTCTTCTAAGAACTAGGAGAACCAGTTGACCTCCCTGGTGATACACACACACACACACACACACACACACACACACACACATTCTCCCTTTTAAAAGGACTCTCCTCCTTCCCTTAAAAATTGTCATGGTATGCATTAGTGGAAAAGAAGACAGGAGACAGGGATGAATAAAAGGTTATTTGATATATGTAAAATTAATAAAATAATAGATTTCAATAGTCTCTACTCCCTCCCAACACAGAGAGAGAGAGAGAAAGTGAGAGACAGATACAGAGAGAGAGAGAGACAGAGAGAAAATACCAAAAGGTTTTCAACACTTGAGTCTGGAAATGGGTTTAAGGCAGTACTCTTGATTGTAATGTTCAAGAACTATTTAGCAAATGACTACACATTTAACAGGTCTCCGAACACAGTTAAAATGAAAGCTTATTGATTATCTATTTAAGATTATTTTTAAGAACATCTTTCTTTGGGCTTGGCATAGGAGTGGACAAGATAAAGCAAGTGATGATGTGGGATATGAGCAATAATAAGTAACAGATTTTAAATTTATTTTACTCATGGACATTGTGTGTATTTGTGCCCACGTGTGGCGTGCACACTTGCATCTGTATGTTGAATGGCAGAATCAGTCATCAATTTCATCTGGGAGGAACTTAAGAGTGGGATCCGGAGCTTGGTGTATTTCAGCTGACACCTGTAGGGATTGCTCTGTACTGAAGAGAAATGCTCTTAGCTCCCTCCATGGAGGAGCAGCAGCACAATGCGGCGTCATAAATTACAGCTAGTTTCAGCTTATACAGAAAAAAAAAAGTGTTAATTGGATAGTGAGCTTCTGTGTCTAGGCAATAAATTTTGAGTGGGTATATGTATGCATGTTTCTGTCTATGTTGCATGGGATGGAAATAGTGGGAAATGTTGAAGGAAATATACAAAGCTTCTTAATGACCAGATGATACAACACAGAGGTTTTTTTTTTCTCAAATTTTTAGAATAATTTTTTTTCCTGGCAAAGTAATAACTTTGGGGAAAAAAATCAGTACATATGATTTCTGTACCATTTCAAGAACCTGTCAGATTTGGGTTGTATAAAGAGAAGTGATTTAATAGTTTAGTGGGTGATTCACTGGTATGGCTTTAAATTCTAGCATGCTAAAGTCAAAGCAACTGAGATGACATACATGCCTACTGCTGTAGTGACCACACAGATTTTTAAGGCCTGACAGTCAGATAAGGACTTGAAGGGGAGTTAGGTCACTATCTTGTTAGGCAAAATACTACATATTTTGGCCATATTTAGAGGAAATAATATTATGGCAGTTAAGATGTGGCCATTGCTCCCCCAAATAAAATCTGGCTCCAATTAGGAGATTTCTCCTGTAAAAGATTATTCCTTTGATTGAAAAGGAAGACTGCATTTCTTTGGAATTCTGGGAAATTCCCATCAATATTCCTGCTCTTTCTGAGAAAAATAAAATGGTAGGAATGCCACACAAATCTAAGCTAGCAGTTTCCTACCAACTGTTTGATCTACGTTGCCTTTTGTAAGATCTGCTATTAACTGAAATTCAAAGAGGTTGCATTTTTACTGTGTGTAAAAGCAGCACACAATGCAGGTAGAAATCTCTGAAAGGGCCTTTTTTTCCCTCTCCTCATTCGTTTTGAAAATTAAACTTTCTTGGAAAAAAGAAAAATAAAAAAATCACCATAATTAAATTTCTATTAAAAGCCTAGTTACCTATTAACAGTTACAATAAAATACAAGGTGTAATGGTCTTTTTTTTTTTTTCCAGAGCTTGGCTAGCAAACATTAGACCTTATTTGTAGGTCAAGACAAGAAAGAGAGAGAGCTCGCTCTACACAGTAAGGCTTATAAACAGCATACACACTGTATCTGCTTTCTATGATTCTAGAATTTTTAAACTTTTAAATTTTAATTTTCTGCAGATTTCTGAATCCATGTAAAAAGAAAATATCAAAATGCATCAACACACAGCCAACTGATACTTGGCGTCTTAGCCTGGCCTTGCAGAGAACAAAGAAAGGGGAGCTATTGTGATGCTCACATCTTACCACCTTCTGGGTTTGAGTCCTACTGTTGAGGAGGTTTCAAAGCAATCAAATCCAGCCTGGAAGGCCACTCACACGATTTCAGTGTCAGCTGCTGTGGTGCTGGAAGTCCATGCAGCAAGCCTTTGAAGCTACTTTGGGGTTAATAAGTGGTGTCCTCAAGAGGCAAGGAAGCCCTCCCTCCATCCTGTTCTACTGAGACGTTGCGTCTGGAGGAGAAACACCCGAGGCATTCAGAGCGTCTGAGGATACTGATCAATGCAGGCTTCTTGTGATTCCCTGAGAAGGGCGTCTGCTTCTGACTTCCCCTGATGTTTTCCCTTTAGCTGGTACCACTGGTGGCTCCTGGCAGATGAGGCTGTTTAACAAGTGAGGCATCTGTTTGCCCGCGGATGCCCTTCAACTAGTTCGTCGGACTCAGATGGATCAGTGATGTCCTTGATCTCCTGCTGACACCTTGACTGGCACGGTGCCCCACGAGTGTATCTTCCCCTTGGTCTGGAAGTTCCAGGGCTGCCCTGGACCACTGGGCTCACCCTTTTCTAGTTGGAAGAGGGCTGTCAGGGAGAAGGAGGGTTGCTGGAAGAAGAAGAAGAAGAAGAAGAAAAAATCTAGACCAAGGAGGGAGCCTCGTCCCACTCGGTGACGGCGCTTCCCCTCCTGTGACCGCCTATTTCTTCACCACGGTGTCCAGGACCATTTTGACCCTGTCGGCCCCGGCCTGCCCGCGCCGCACCCCAGCCCCGAGCATGGGGACGGCGCTTCTCCAGCGCGGGGGCTGCTTTCTGCTGTGCCTCTCGCTGCTGCTGCTCGGCTGCTGGGCCGAACTGGGCAGCGGCCTGGAGTTCCCAGGGGCCGAGGGTCAGTGGACGCGCTTCCCCAAGTGGAACGCCTGCTGTGAGAGCGAGATGAGCTTCCAGCTCAAGACGCGCAGCGCCCGAGGCCTGGTGCTCTACTTCGACGACGAGGGCTTCTGCGACTTCCTTGAGCTCATCCTGACGCGAGGCGGCCGCCTACAGCTCAGCTTCTCCATCTTTTGCGCCGAGCCCGCCACACTGCTGACCGACACTCCAGTCAACGATGGCGCCTGGCACAACGTGCGCATCCGCCGCCAGTTCCGCAACACGACCCTCTTCATCGACCAGGTGGAGGCCAAGTGGGTGGAGGTCAAATCCAAACGCCGGGACATGACGGTGTTCAGCGGCCTCTTCGTCGGGGGACTGCCCCCGGAACTGCGCGCCGCGGCGCTCAAGCTCACCCTGGCCTCGGTGAGGGAGCGGGAGCCCTTTAAAGGGTGGATCCGTGACGTCAGGGTCAACTCCTCGCAGGCCGCGCCCGTGGACAGCGGCGAGGTGAGGCTGGACGACGAGCCGCCCAGCAGCGGCGGCGGGAGCCCGTGCGAGGCGGGCGAGGAGGGCGAGGGCGGCGTGTGCCTCAACGGAGGCGTGTGCTCCGTGGTGGACGACCAGGCCGTGTGTGACTGTTCGCGGACCGGCTTCCGAGGCAAGGACTGCAGCCAAGGTAAGGCCCGCCGCCGCCGGCCGCACGGGGGTCCTCGGCCTGGGCAGGGCAGCGGGGCAGCGGGGCAGCGGGGAGGGCCTGGCCGGTGCATGGGGGCCTTCTTTCTCCTGACACCGCGTGGCAGGCGGTGGCTTCGAGGCCCAGGCCTGCTTCTGGGGAGCCTCTCAGTCTCAACCGCTTTCCACAGCTCCTCGCTTGGCGCCCGGCCGCCGCCGCCTCCTCTTCCTCCTCCTCCTCGTGGCGGAGCTGCTCCTTCTAGAGAATTCGGTTTCCTCCTGGGAGCAGAATGGCCTCAGCATTGTAGGGGTTCCTGCGCAGGCTGGGTTCAGTATTCTTGGAGCCCACCGAAGCAAATTACTAAGACTCCCCTCTAGTCATTTTATATCTGTCCGCCACCACGGACTTTGCCTGTAAGGGCAGACAAGGGTCTCCGAGGCTGAGCAGGAACTTGGCGGAAAAGCAGAACGCAGGAGAGGTTCGCTCGGGCCTTAGACTCCTGACAAAGCGGTAGAGAGCAGCGGGGAAGGAGAGGCAGGGACGGGGTTAGAGGGACTGCTGGAGGCCTTGCAAACCAAGCTGGGACCCATGCTTTTGGTTATGGACGTGAGGGAAGAGGGGCTGTGGGGATTTTCTTCATTAACAAGAGAATGGTTTCCGGGATTAAGGTTGGTTTCCATGGTTATGTCCAAGTCCAACACTCGTCAGATTGAGGTAGATTTTGTGATTTCTGTGGTTTCTGGACTTCGGAGACAAGTCAGCTAATGTTTTCTGAAAGCTTAGAGAATAAATAACAGGTTCCCTAATTACCTAATGTGTTGGAAGAGGGGCAGATTCAGATGGAGTTCAAGTTGGGAAGTTCTGCAGGTTTATAAATGGGATGTATGTGAGGGGGGATTGCAAGAGATTTTCAAAGAATATTCATCTGAACAGCAGAGGCCAGCTTGTGATTTCTGGGTTCCTGGGCTTCAAACAGTGTGGAAGTAAACAGTAAAAATCATCCCTAAATTTCCTATTTCCCATAAACAATTATAGCTGTTGAATAATATGGGAAAATCTGTGAATAGAGTATAAAGAAAAATGACATTTGCATCTGTGGTTGCACAGAAAGTAGGTGTCAGGGTTTAAAGAAAAGAGCTGATGGGTCAAATCACGGCAATCTCCCTATGGATAAAAGGCGTTGGTGGCTGAAATGAGGAAAAGGATGAATTACTCTGAGAACAAAAGCTCAATCAATGTGTGACTGTGTTTTATGGTATGATACCTTGAGTGTTTTCTTCTGCCTCCTCCCCCTTTTTTTCTTTTCTGACATCGCTAAGGGGAACTAGCCTTTGTAATTCTTATTAGACTTGGCAGTTCTCTCACACTAGACTTTAAGAGAAATGAGGACTTGATGAAATTTGTAATTGTTTCAGAAGCAGAGGGAGTTAGTTAGGAAGAAAAAAACTGGTGTTTGGGAGAGTTCAGTAATCTTCATGGGATTAGAAGGTGGAAGAAGTTAAGGGATGTTTTATTGCAGTTCACTTTCATGTGATTTATGTTTTTTATTTTAATTTAAGTAATTATAGAAGACTGTGTGTTTACGGCCTGTATGTCCATGGACATAAAACCAGAATTTGTAGTTCCATCTTACAAAACAGAATATTTTTTTCTTCTAACAAGGATAACTTAATTGTGAATCATAATTAGGATATTAGATATGATTTCTATAATATAGCTTGCAGTTGCATACCTTTGTATTGATAGACTGACATGAATTAAAAAATAAGAATGAGGGAAATAAAAGCTCTGATGTATCCTAGTGTCACTTTCCAAGACAGAGGAGGCAGTTTAAAGAAGGACACAAGATATATCTTACTTCCTTAAATTAGGACACAGATATGACATGGTGACAGCTTGTGCTGTGTGGGAAGATGTTTTAAGTGAAAATTTTTATTTTTCTGTGCATTTTTAATGGAGGGCTCTGGAGATTCTGCATAATCAGGAATAGTTAAAAGAAAGCATCTAAAAGTAATACATTAAACAGAAGCAGAATTAGATGTCTGAGAAACATATTTGGCAAATGAATCTCTTGCTATGAAGACGTCTGGAATTATAGGGGCGCGTAATTGAACAGTGTAATACCTAATATATAAGAAAATCTGAAGCTGTGAAGTAGGTGCATCAGGATCATTCTAGAGCTTTGATTCATTTAAAAAATGTAAGCTGAAAATAGAATGCAAATACCACCAGTCATGGAAGGGAAACAAAAGGCTGGCTGCTTCGGATTCTCAGAGTGGGAAAGGCAGAATCAGTCTTTCCAGTGGTCTTCCCAGAAGGATCGGCTCCATTTTGCTTATTTTCCCTGCTTCATGTGTGTCAAGTGACTATTGAATAATTAATTGAGAATGAATGCTCTTTCAGCACCAGTCATGTATTTATAGTTAGAGAAAGATGGTTTCTCTTCAGCTGAAGCATAAACAAAGCCCTCATTCCGGCCAGTATTTACACTGACAGCCACTTTCTTTAGGAAATAACTAATGTGAAAATAAATAATTTGAAATTCAGTGCTGAGAATTGGGGAAAAGTATAGGCAAGTGAATCATAAACACAGATTTAAGTATCTTTGTTTCAAGCTCTAATTTTTTTCCTTATAAGAAAAAAGTCTAACATTATCTTAGTTGCCTTCATATTCAAAATAGAGTAAGAATTGCTAAGAGGCTCTTCTCTGTTGAAACTCTTATCTAGAGTCCATCATGGCCTGCAGTGCTAGGAAGCAATTTATGCACCCATAACTTTCTACAATAATTGTATTGAATGAGCTCAGTTTCATCCTCACTCTGTTTATTCAAACCTAGCCAGTTTTATTTATTTGCAAGTATTTATGCACTGCTGGGGAGGAACACCACAGAGTTTATACATAACGACAAAGGTTTGGGTAGTGCCTGGGTAAGGGTAGACTTTTTTTTTTAAGATTTATTTATTTTTTCTGAAAAATCAGATTTACAGAGAGAAGGAGAGACAGATAAAAAGATCTTGCATCCTCCGGTTCACTCCCCAAGTGGCCTCAACGGCCAGAGCAGGGCCGAGCCAAAGCCAGGAGGCAAGTGCTTCTTCCAGGTCTCCCTCACGGGTGGGTGCAGGGTCCCGACGCTGCCCTCAACTGCTTTCCCAGGCCACAAGCAAGGAGTTGGATGGGAAACCTTGGAACATCATGTCTACTGAATTAGATTTTCACTTCATTTGGGTTGAGAATTTTTCAGGTTCAGGTTTATTCGAGAGAAAAAGATACACGCAAGGAAAAGTACCTGATGGAACAGAAATAATTCGTGTCTGGCTTATGTTCTCTGACCCTGAGGATCAGTCTCAGAATACAACTGTCCAGCAGTGTCATTTTTTCTGAACAATGTATGCTTATAGCTGAAATAGTTTTTTTCAGAGGATCATGCTCTTCTAAGTGCTCCTGGATCATTATCATTTAGTACATTCCTGCTTAGAATCACTAATATTTTCCTAGCATGTCGAAAGAGTGAGTGAATTCCATGCCTTAAAAAAAAACCATGAAAGCACGAGGAATAAGAAATACATGCTTCATAAGTTTTAGATCTAGGTCCTATGCATTTTAAAGGGCATGTATAGTAAAGCTGCATGCCTGGTTGTGTCACTTCTCTGTACTCTGTTTCAGTGACAGTCGGTGCTATGACAAGTGCTGATTTCATATCACTGCACGTGGCACTGTGGTAGGTGTTATTAAAGAAATCCCCTGCTCTGTGCAACTTTACTAATGTGACTGCAGAGCTACAGTCATTCTTGCATTAATTCAGTTAACAAATATTGACTGTTTCATGTGTTAGGGTAAATGGTAAGAAGCTCAGAAATAGTTCCTACCTTTGTAGACACTTTCTAGAGGGGAGGTGCATTCAGTTAAATCAGGGAGAACTATAAAATTGTGGAATGCACTTTGAGGAATGGCTGCCTGGCACTGAGTAAGCTGAGAATTGCATACGATGATTTAAATAAGAGAGTATTTGCCTGAGTAGTGATTATTAAAGTAGAACTTGAGGGATGTCACAGATGTTAGCTGGCAAACACAGCGATATTTAGCCTGGTCAAAGAAGAGGTAGATAAGTCTGGTGCAGGACATGGCAAAAAAATGCCCTTGCGTTTGAAGTTCTGACTTCATAATTAGCAGAGGAGTTGAGAGCAGACCACATAGGATCTATGCATTGTATCAGGTGTTTTAATTTTCACTGGAACAGTTCTGGAAAAAACATGGAAATTTAAAAAAAAATTCTATTATTTTGGTAATCTTTACATAGTTGATTAGGGCAGAAAGGGTCAAGGGCTACAGAAAAGTGGGTAAGATTATTGTTTCCACATTAATATTGTTTTCTTTTCTGTATCCGGGGTAAGGGAAGAGATAAAGGGAAAAGCCCCAGCCAGCCTCCCACCCTCCCAGGTCCCCGACGTGGGGCATACTCCGAGGGTCCTGCTCATGCAGTTTTGATAGTTCAACAGTTCTGAATTGCTGCCAATCTCTCCATTCCAACTCTCTTCAGAACTCTCTTTAGAATCCACTGGCTGACATAGTCTCTTCATAGTTGGCGTTCTGAGATCAGCAGTTCAGTTGGAGGGATCCCCAGAGAAACTTCGTCAGAGGTGATCCCAGACCTGATTCTTGGGTGTGCTTGCCAGTATAGGGTCTGGCACAGTCTGTCACCCCAATCAGCTCATGCATATGCTGATGGTTGCAGTTGCTGAGTCAGTTCTATTTCCAGCCCTGTCTAAAAGCATGGAAAGTTTATCATGTGGAAGATGAAGTAGAGGATGGCTTTATCAAATTTGAATTTCGAAAGTGTCACTGTGGCTACAGTGTAGCGAATAGATTGAAAGGGAGCCAGGGAAAGAGAGAAAACATTATTTTTGTTTGTCGGTCAACAGCATTTATTGAGGACCCAGTGTAAGCTGAAGCCTTCACTAAGGCAAGTGCAGGGTCCTTTCTCTGGTGAAACTAGAATCTTCAT